CACGTGATGGAGATTTACCGCTGATTACAGAACCGGCTTTACTGATAAGATGCGCGTTAAATATCGCATGCGATTTATCGTGCAGCCCTACTCCACAGTTAATATGAAATGTCAATGTTTGTTTTTAAAAGTGTTTTTATAATAAACACTAATACTAAATGGCATGCTGTCAATTTTGAAATAAAATAAAATACATTGCATGTTCTTAAATGTCCATGCCAATTTCAGTAGAAAAAGTAGAAAATAGAAACTTGAGTTGTGTGGGCAAATTAACTGTTCAGCCAGTTGAATGAACCTAGTGAGATTAGTGAGATGAACTATTCTTGAAAAAGTAACCTGGCTGCCTTAAAAATATAAGTTAATTCAACAAGACGCTTAGTTTGACCAATTTGTATTTAGTTTGCACAACTTATACTTACAAGTTTATTCAACAAAATGCTAAGTTTAAACAACTCAACGTTTGTTGGTCTCACTAGTTTTATGTTGTTTCAACTTGAATTTAGGTTAGCACAACTTTCTCGTCTTGTTGGGCTAACTAAAAACTGGTTGGTTAAACAAAGTATAAAGTTAACTCCACTTCACCTTTGTTACCCCAACTATTAATTCTAGGTTTAAGGAACTCCAATATATGTGTAAACAACAAATGTTTTTTAGCTTATTGAACACAACATTTTAAGGCAGCCAGGTTACAAATTATTTTAAGTTGAATCAACTTATTTTTTTTTACAGTGTACTAATTACTCCCCCATGAAGAGGAACTGAAACTATCAATGGCCCGAAGCCTGGTTGTTTGATCCAAAAATCACTAAACTGAGCACAGCAGGAGCTCTCTTTACTGCCAGTTGCTGTAAGCTTAAAGGAAATGGTTCATGCAAAAATGAAACTTCTGTCATCATTTTCTCACCCTCACGTTGTTCCAAACCTGAATGACTGTGTTTTTTTTCTTCTGTGGAACACAAAAGAAGATTTTAGCAAAAACAGCACCATAAAAGCCTCATAAAAGTATATGACTCACGCACTTTATTCCAAGTCTTCGGAGCCATTTGACAACACTATGTGTGGAACAGACCTAAATTTAACTATTATTCACTGAAAATCTTGTTTGACAGCTATGGTCACTGTTTACTTTTAATTTATAGTAAGGAGCAGCTTAGAAAATATGCTATAAATAAGAAAGTCATACAAGCTTTGACAGACACAAAGGCGAGTAAATGACACTTTTTTAGTTTTGAGTGTACCCTTTCCTTCCTTCCTTCGATAAAATTGGGAAACTGAAAAAAGGCAACTAGAACAAGCAATATAATTCATTTTATTTGTAGCTAAAGCGTTAACATATATGAAATTAAAAAAAGTTAAGGCATCTGAAGAATATATTTTTCTCATTTATTTACTCCACTGACTAACTTTGCTTCTAATTACAAGCAATATTTAATTAGTTCAGTCTAACAATTAGATTATAGATATTCTTACAAAAATCTATTTTATCTTTAAAAAATAAAACGCTCTTAAGAAAATGAACAAACTTCTTCGAATTTAACTTCTTCAGAAAGAAGAATCTGATCCCTGATTCTTATATATGTCATATACAGTATACAGAATATAGATATGAGACCAATTAATTTCACATTCTTGTTTTTTTTTACAGTGTTCTTTAAAATGTTACATTTAAATGTCCTGAAATATCACCTGTCATTCACATTCATATCCTGTCTAATAAGATCAAAGACTTTCCTTCCCTTCATCTGAATATCATCTCATTCTCCTGAGTTGATGTTTGTTCAGACACTCAGCTTTACAAGGAGTGCAGCATATTCTTTCATGTATACTCAATTTTATCTCTTTTTCAGGAACAAATAAATATAAACGATCTCAGATATTAAAATATAGAGGAATTTCTGAATACTCTTCTTGTTAGTTTCTGTTTGCGGGGAGCTCAGTCGGTTACTTCACTGCTCCAGCAAACAGGATTGAGGCATCATGTGAGCCTGTAGGAGTTTATTATATGACGTGTATAAAGGGCCAGCTATTGTGTCTCATATGAAATACTCTTTCTTGCTCTCGTCCATGGCGTCCTGCAGGGCAGGGTCTCCACGCAGAGCAGCGTCTGCTGTCTCTGCGAACTCTGTGCCCTTGGCTTCATTGGTATGATATGTGCCCTTGTGCTTGTACATGTATCGCAGAATGACGGCCAGGAGGAGGAGCAGGACAAGAACCACCACAGCAATGACAACTAGAACACACAGACACAGAGAAAGAGAGGTTATAATAGAAGATAGCCTGTGGGATGCAGCTATTAGGTGAGACTGAGTGTCCTGAAATAAACAGACTACACTGTTTTGAGTTCAATGGAGCATTACTGGCTGTATGGGTTTTTGTCAGTGGTTGATACAGATAAGGGTTTTAAAATGGATTTTGCTGGGTTTGTTAGCACAAAAAATGTTCCCATTATAAAATTAAAGATAAAAAAAAGAAGAAGATTGTTTTGTATTAGTCAACAACATGCCACAAAAGTTGTTGATTGAGCTTAACTTGTACTAAATCTGGAACATATTTCTGATTCAAAAGATGATGCCGATACCAATATCTGAAGGTGGTTGATGGTCATAATAATTATTATATAATACAAATTCATGATTGTATTTTTTCAGCAAATAAGATGTTCACATTTTACATAAAATTTACAAAAAATGTAGAAATAATTTTAATTGTTTTTTATTAGTTTGCTAAAACCATAAAA